ACTATCCAAATACAAACTCTTATTCAGATATTAAAGCAATAATGAAGTTGGCCTTTTTTTTTTATCAGCCACTAGTCCCATGCTTTGAATTAGTAAGATAATAATGTTTTGAGTTACATGTGCTGCAAGAAGTTAGTGGAAATCATAAGTGCTTACTCAAATGACAGTGTTGATATATACTTCTTAAACTGTGTTTAGATTAGGAAGATGTATATAATTTAAAATATGTTCCCTAGCACACTTTTAAACATTTCTGGAGCAAGTGTTCAACACATCTGAAAATGCATTAGCTTTATCTAGCTTTACAGAATCCTGCTGAAAAACTCTTTTTTTTGGGACACTTGGTTTACAAATTAAGCTGGTGTGCCCAAAATGTCATAAATCATAGCGTATATAACAATCTGAACAGCTATTTACATCCTTTGTAATTGTATCAAAATAGGTTTATTAAGTTATACACTAAGCTAGACCTTAGCTCATAGTTTTTCTTGGACCTCAGCTCTTAGTTTTTACACAGTTTAACTACATTTAGACAAAAGAGTGCAAAGACAGTGATCTGTTTTCGCAATTCTCCTTTCAACAAATGTTCCCTTCTACTAAAACTATAATATTTAGCTCACTATTTTAAAGAGACAGTAATTGAAACAACAATGAAACATTCTTAATCTTCCTGTAGTTACTCTAGGAATTTATACATAATACATTACATGCCCCTTCAACATCAGATTTTTTCAATCATGCAGTGGCTTTTTTTTCTCCTTTAGACACACCAGTGAGCAATGTTATTCCAAAAAGGGAAAGAAGAGGGTCATGTCTTAAGCTTCTACGGAGAAACCTGAGCATGCTTTGCAAGGGAGCAGCATATGTTCTAGTCAAAGCATAGTAATTCTTCATGCTTCCTGTAACTCCATACTATCCCACATTATCCTTGAACAGAGCTGTTTCTTAAATGCCATCTTTGTATTTAGATTAATCAAGAAGTTGGAAACAATTTCTTGCTGCTGTTCTTGTAGTAGGAGCTGTTGACAGAGGAAGTTGGTAATTACAGAAAAATGACACAACTTAGTTAAATCAAGAGGGAAGAGTTCTGTTATTTTAGTATGGATGTTATGTTGAAATTAACTTGAATCAATCTGTTAAAAAAGTTCTTAATTTTGTTAGGCATGCTCCAGAAATTAATTTCTTGTTTAGTATTCTTGATTGGCTCCACTGTAGTTCCTTTATGCATGCAAATTCAAAATGCATACAACTTAATTCCTGATACTTGCTTCCAACCTCTAATTTATCACAATTGAATCATTGTTCTTGGGTTCACTGTGCAATTAGTGACAGTCTGATAGAATAGATGCACCTTGCTCTTTCTAAAAGTATGGCTGCTGTATTTTTTTTTTTTTCTGCAATCTAATTTGCTTGGAGGCAAGTGCTTTATAGATAATCACAGAATGACAATGGAAGAGATGTGCTCAATTCCTAAATTATCGGTCTTCCTATGCTGGATGAGTTCCCACCTTAATTTGGTTACTTTGCCTGTGTTGCTGTGACTCTTTTTTTCCTAGGGTTGAATGCCTAGTTTGGATGGTCAGTAAGATAAAAGCCTTTATTTTCTGTCCTATGAGCTAGTTGATAGCATAGCAGATCCCTGAACGTTCTTCTGTGGCTGCTATTTACTTGAGTATCAAATGGTTACCCTTTCCTGCTTTCTTTTGTGACTTACCAAGAGAGTTTTCATTATCTTCCACCCAAAGCATTTTATTTTCAGGGGCTGTTTTCTTGAAAGCTTTCAGACAGAAAATAGGATCTGGAAACATATAACCTACAATAAATCTCATCTGTTATATTGTTTGGTTGCTTACGTGGTTTGTGAACTTTTGATCTTGAGGGTGAGGAGGTCTGGTTATATCACCTAAAATGCTAGTTACAGTATTTTCACAATGTTCCTAAGCTATACAGGAAAGCAAGCAACTTCTAAAGCCTTTATTTCCAAATATTATGAACAATGTGAAAGAGCAATTGAATTACAACATGCCTTGGAGAAAGTAAAAATAAAATAGCTTTTGTAAAGAAATCTCTAGTATAATTTTGTCACTTGGCTTTTTGTACCTGCAGTTTTGACCCCATACATTAATCCTGGCAGATAACTATGTAATCACCATACTCTCTATAATATGAGAGGAAATGAAATGAAAGCAGTTGATGGAAAAGAAATGGAAAGGCAATGTTATAAATAGTGAAGTACAGAATAGTATGAATTAGTAGTGGAATATGAACCAGCTTGACACATTAAAGCCAGTTTTAATAAAATTGGAAAAAATGCAATTAAATTGTTCACGATGCCTTAATGCCAGAAAGGCATTGGAGAAATTCTTTGAAAATAACTAGCTAATTTCAAAGCTTTGAGTCTTGGCTGTTTATTTCTTTCAAGTATTGGAGAATTCATTAGTTTATAATTTTAGATTTAGGGGAGGCAATACAGTAATATGTGCCTTTTTTCTAATAACAGTTACATATTTCGTTGTTTTGGGAGTTCTTTATAAGGGGACAGGATGGACTGGTTAGTGTTTATAATGTAAAACATTGCTTGAATGTGTGGCAATAAGCAGTATTTTCAGAGCAGCAGGCTGAAATGTGTGCTTTTAACTTTTTAGCTCAGCAATTAAAATCACATCTGACATCACAAGATAAAAGAGCACCCTCAGGTTTAATGAGAATTTAGTATTTCATCTAGAAGTAATACTGAGTGTCTGTAAGAGCTGAGTTTTGAAGTCAAGCAACAACACTTAAAACAGTTGATCTCTTGGTAAAAATAATTGAATATAAATCTGTCTTCCTTTGACAGATGCATGATTATTTCTAGTCCTATAATACTTGATATACATGTTTAAATGCCTGTGAGGAAGATATATATCTCAGCCTATGTATTGTGAACTGTTCTCCCTGCTTGAATAATTTATTGGGTACTAAATATGTAAGCCTTTATTTCATGTAAGTGTATGAATTTATTTTATCAACCTTTAAAGGTTGATAAATACTCAAATTTATTTGAGTATTTATCAACTCAAATAATACCGTTGAGGTTAATACTCAAAGGTATTACTAGATATGCTTAAAGTTCAGCAGCCTTTTGTATTTAAAATACAACTTTCTAAATAGTTCAAAGACACTTAATTTCTTAAAAAAAATTACTTTGAAATTAAAGCTGTAGTTTTTACAACCATGACTTTTTAAATTACAGCATTGTGGCTTTTGCCTTCAGCCTTAGACTGTTCTTGGATACAAATCCTTTTTCTGAGCTCATATGTAGATGCCATTCAGAAGAGTGAGTCTGGGATCCTCATTCTGGTAAAGAATCTGTAGTTCATGTTCCTGTTTGACAGAGAAGGCATGATCAACAACTTCACTCGCTTGAAATAGGACATATTTAATGGCTTTTATTTCTGGGGGACTCTCTTGTTCCCTGTTTTGTACCAGGTGCTGAAAAAATTTTCTTTTGAGGCTGAAGTCCTGTGGCTATATTGTAACCTAGTTCTATATTCCTTGAAGTATTGCCATGCTCTAAACTAGTTAATTGGTGGCTGTTTGGTTTTTATTTACCATGGTAAATGCTTCTGGGTTCAAGCACCATGTTGGATGCTCTTTGTGGGTGCAGATCATTTCATCGACTCTGCTGGTTACAGCCATGCAGTCTTTCATGTTTAGTGTTCTATCCTGGTTTGAGCCAGCATGAGGAAAAGTGAAGACAGACTAGAAAAAAATAATTTCCACAAGTTATTCTTGAAGCACTTGACTATCTCAGTTGAAAGAAAAACCCTGAAATGTCTTCATCTTGGAGAATCTGCGAATCTGGCACCTGAGCGTTTGGCAGAGAGAGGCAAACTCACATGCAAAGGACTCATCCCTTTGCAATTCTCTCCTTTTTTTTTTTAATGACAGTGGCTGCTTGTATGGAGTAAGCACCATCTACTAAGTAGACATTCATCTGAAACTTTGAATGGAGTATGTTGGAACTCTCCCTCTAGCCACGTTTTCCCCTTATTGTGATTAAGCAATAGAAGTGCCATACTACAAGAATGGGGAACTACCTAAGAAACTCTCTAAGAAAATGCAGACTTGGTGGCTACTTTGTGACAATCCTTTGATGGGATTTGAAGCATCTTTCCTTGGTAACGAAATACAAGGAGATTCTCCATTTGTGAGCATAACACAGTTAACATCTCAGTCACTTCTAGACGCAGAACAGTGTTTATAACTTGGGGCAAACAGGTTCTGTTACAGCTGAACATTCATAGCTCCCACCTTTTCATAATTTCCTATTTGTACGTAAGGGGCATAGCTTGTCCTTTAATTGCATTGTTTTCAGTTTTGCACTCCATTTTGTTTCCTGATACTGAATGTCTCACCTTTTATGACTTTCTGTGGGCATGGCTGCATCTTTTATGAGGTTGCTGAAGAGCTAATTTCTTGAAAGTAGCAAGCGGAGCTTCCCATTTCCTGTGGAAGATGAATATTGAAACTTAAAACTCTGAAGTTGTTCTTCTGGGGATGCTCTGCCCAGTATCCTCCTCACAGCAGGGCACACACTAATGTGTCAAAGTTACACTGAGCTAAATTCACCAGACGTGAGACTTGAAGGAAAATCCCAGTTGGGTTATGTAGAACCACACCTGGGATTCAATATGCCCAAATGAAGCTGGCAGAGCATTGCCACTGCACAGCAGGACAGGGTCTGCCATCCTCTTCTGCTGCCTTGTTTGAGTTGTCAGTCCATTAAGCTGTGAAGCCACAGCAGAAGTGGCACCTCTTAGCATTACTTAAAAGCACATTTGTGGGCTCCAGTGAATTTGTGTTGGACCATGTCTTGATGGAGATCTGTCTTAACCTTCTGCCTGAACTGTCTGCTTGCATTGGGCATAAAGGGGTGGGTTTGGTAGCCGGGGCTGCGGGCTGGGCTGTGCGGGAGGAGCTGTCCTGGACTGCTGCAGCTCGTTTCAGCTTCCTCTGAAATGGATGAAAACCACTCGCTGTGGGCCAGGATTTCAGAGGAGTGTGTGGTGCCTCTGGTCACATATGTTGAAGAAAAGAAGCAGCTGCTGAGGGCAGAGGACACAAAGACACACGTGAGGAAACATGAGGATGCATGTGAGGACACACAGAAGGCGATGGGAGGTGACAGGAGAAGAAATGTACAACTACAGAGAAGAAGCAGCAAAGCAGTAAGAAGCAAAGAGCCGGGGACAAAAAGAGTAAGACGCAAGGAGAGGCAACAAGAAACCTCTGGGCCCTGGCCGTAGCCTCCCGCGGTGGCCATGGGCTTGTCAAAGGGATGTGGAGGGACTGGACGGAATGCTTGCTGAGAACGGAGGAAGCTGGGGAAGGAGTAGGGGAGGAGAAGTGCTGGGCTGAAATGGGGCTCGGAGAGGGAAGGTGCTCTCCTAAGTGCTTGTTTCACTCTTGGTCTTTTTCCCTCAATGCTTGAATCTATGATTAAAAGTTCATATTAATTGGCAACAAACGAAGTGAATTTCCTCAGTCAAAGCTGTCTTGCCCACGCAGCTCTAATTCCAGAAGGCATTGCAGCACCACCATTACCTGAACAAAAGGAGCTGATGGAAAGGGTCACGGTGGAGAGAAACGTGGTATTCGGTGGCTTGTCCCTTGCGCATGGCCAGTGTTCTCATCCACGAGAGCTGACAGTTTGTTCCTTTTCACATAATGGAGAGAATTGTGCAGCTTTAGGGCTGAGCTTTTTCCGTTTATAAAGCTTTTTCTTATTCAAGCAAGAATTCAGAATTGCTGTTGAACTTGCTTTACTTCATCCTTGTGAAAATCGAGTTTTCATACTTAATCACTAAAACATGACAGGAAAATATCTGAAGCATGTGCCACCTGTTTTTCCTTTCATCTTGATTCATTCATTAGCTTCCTCATATTAAAAGCCCTTCAAGACACAATTAACCCTTTTTTAATACTGTGAAGCTTGAAATGATCATTAAAACTCATTAAGGCAGAGAAACTTACTTTCAAAAGCAGCTTAATATTAAAATTTGTCTCATTTCTTTTCTTGTGGGTAAGGAAGAATATTTCGGGTATGGCCATCACGGTTCCAGTTGTAACTGACTATTCAAGTAATTAATGATAATTGGTTGCTTTGCATTGTAGAACTGCGCACTGTGCTAGAAGATACTTTGATGAAATAATTTTCTATAATGGAATGTTGTCGTCTGAGTATAGACTATGTAATAATGGTATTGTCAGCGAGTCCTTTTTGTCCAGTAAGAAGAAAATGCAATTGAAGATAAAAATACATTACCAAAAGTCTTGCTTTTTTCTGCCCCTTTACATTCTCTTGCATATTAAATTATACCGTTGCCACAAGAAAGCAAATATCTACTTATGTTTTCTGATTTACTGAGTTGGTTTTGTTTTTAACATCCTTTAAAATGCACAAACATGCAGTCAATTTTATTTTGGTACTCACTTCAGTACTCTTAATGTCAACATACCTGAAGGTTGAATTTGATCTCACTTTAAAAAAAATCTTTTTTTTTTTTTGTATTCTGTTAATTGCCTAGTCTGTTCCCAGCATTATATAAACAATCTTAGAATTGAGAAATTGATTAGAATAGACAAAATTCAGAATAACCTTCTAAGCTCATAGGCAGTGTTGTTTTCCTTCTGCAAGTTTTTGCAGGATGAAAATGACTAATTGCAAAGAGAAGTACCATGAAGTAAAATGGTGACTTCAAAGCAATAAACTACCTTGGGTTTACTGAAACTACAAGAAAACTTATCATGAAGTCAAAGTGTTGATTTATTTGTACTACTAATATTAGAAGTAATAAAATGTAGGATTTACTGGTATGGTTATAGCATTTGGTATCCATTTTATTAGACAACTACACAGGTATTATATTGAATCATGCAATCATAAGATATTTTATAATCTAGCTTTTACTGAAGCAGAATAGTCATAGGGAAAATAGTTTTGATATTTAGCCTTCTCTCACAGAAGTGAGTGTACTGGATCTTTATATGGATCATTTGTTGCTAAACTTCTAATTTTGTCTTAAATCTATGAGGAAAAAAAGCACCATGAAAAAGAATGTGCTTTTGATTATTGTGAACTGTATTTGGTAACTGAAATTATAGTTCAGACTAGTTTTGCTTTCTAAAATATATTATTTGGCAACAATTGCCTTTCTCTTTAAATATTATTTTAAAAATATGAGCAGGACTATTTATGTTCTGAAAATATTAGCTGTTACATACTTTAAAAAAGTTTGGTAACTACTAGAATAGGCTTTTCAGAAGTGCTTATCATCAACCTAGTTCTGTCCAGAAGAAACTAAAAACTGAGAGGACTTAGACCAGTCCTTAGAAAGCTCAGTGTAGCTGCATGATGATATTCTTATCTGCCTCCTCAATGAAGTTAAGGTAAAGTTATACTTAAAATTACAAACTGAGTGAGAAATATGGTAATAGCCTATCTGTATGCAGATGTGAAAGCTGTAATCTGCTAGGATTCCTCTTACTTGATGGAAAGCAAGATATGATAGAGATAAAAATTTTGAAGAAAAATGAGTTAAAGGGAAAGTGTATTTGGATACATCCCTGCACGGAGGCAGGACAGCAGTATGAATAGGAGAGTATAACATGAATTACCATTGAGAGCAACGTAGATGTTTCAAGAAATAATACAAATGTATTACTGATTTGTTCCTTGTTAATTAAATGCCCTAATTCTAATCAAATGTGCAGTTATTTCAAACAGACTTTCACAGCTTAGCAGATTCGGCTTCAGAATGCAAAGCTTTTTCAGCCACGATGATTTGCTGTAGTTACTTATCAGTACATTGAAAAAAATATTGTGCTTCTTGATAAAGTTGTCCTTATCCTTCTTTTTAAGGTATGGGATGCTGTAGATACAGGCTGCTGTACACAAACATACTCCTGTCACTCCTGTGCTGTTCGAGCTGCCCGGTGGTCATCTTGTGGAAGAAGGATCCTCAGCGGGGGCTTTGATTCCATGTTGCATTTAACAGATGTAGAAACAGGTAAAGGTCATGTAAGGGTGCACTATAGCCCTGTCTTTATTGAGTACACATAACTTTGGATTTTCTTAGCCTTATTCTTTCTTCTAAAAGTATAGAAAAAATCTGTAGAATTCTTGAAATGTGTCTTCACAAAAAAATCTCAGCAATTGAGGGTATTTGGAGATATTTAAGGAAATGGAAATATCTTTGACTTCATGATCACATGTAATTTCTGTTGTCAGATTCTGCACAGATGAACAGAATGAACGTGCATTTTTAATGATCTGTCATGATCATTCATTAGTGTTCAAAGAGCCTCTTAAGGCTGACTTCAGTAACATCTATATATATGGTTAATTTAAACGTAGACTTGTACCTCATTCTCAATTGGATTGGTTTTAAGTTTGTACCTAAAGTTAATTAGGTGATTTTTTTTTTTTTAATAAGACCTTACCTAGGAGTATAGAAACTTAAATTCTGATACGAAACCTTGAGACTGAACCTGTGTTGTTTTGATGCAGTTGTGAATTTGATTTGGGATTTGATTGTTGTGACCTTAACAACTAATTTCCTGGATGCCGTCTCTCCTGTTGTCTTCTTCGGAAACTAAAGTGCTTCTATCAGCTGTATTTCTTCTCTCCTTTACGTGTGTTATCAGCATTCATAGGGCAGCATTCACTGGGCCTGTACATAACAGGGCACCTCTATGTGTGTATAAGTAAAGTGTTAGGCCTAAAATAGTAACTTTTCAACTGAAGAGATGCAATTTTATTTTTCCACTTAATTTATTTTGAAATGTTTAACTCCTGTAGAGATCCAGTACTTTTTGTAAGATTACAAAAGAAATCCTTACAAAAATTACGAACAGTTCTTGTCTAGGAGGGTTTTCTCTTACGTAAAAGTAAGAAGTACATTGTATGTGAATATCTGGAGAGCAGAAGTCCTATTCAGATGAACTGGGAAAGTAGCCAAGGAAATTTGTGAATATTGTTCACATGAAAAGAAGATTCTTTTCCATGCTCTATGAATTTTTTTTTTTCAACGTTTGTCATACTAGAAGTATTTAAATTCAATGATGGCTGGCAGGGAGCTGTTGGGACTGTAAACATGTGACACAGTTACGGCATATTGATGTTTCGAGAATATTCAGGTTTTGTAACGGGGAAAAGAGCTTTATGTATCTGATGTAGTAGTAGCACATGAGGTTAATATACCAAGTCATTAATTTTGTTAGACGACTTCTCTTTTTTTTAATTTTCAGTCTCATTGCAGCAACCTTCTCATTTCCAGTCTCATACATAACTGGATCTTACTAATCCAGTGAATTTAATTTTTACTGTAGTGCTTACAGATTCTAAACAGAATGGCTACTGCTGTTAATAGGATTTATAGCAGTAGAATAGACTTTATGTGCCTGAGTCATCTGAAGGGACCACTGTGGGGAGAATCTCTTTATAAAATCAAAGAACAAATTCCAAAGATAGGTAGTTTTAATCATATACTTTAGTTTCTAACGTCTCTTTGACTTAACTATCCTGTAACGGGATAATAGTCTGGATTAAGTCGATTGTAGTGGGTCACTTGAGGGAAGGTATTTGTAGTGTTTTAGGCAATGACAACAGTAACAGATTATATTTAGCAAGTTTCAGAACAGCTAAGCTTATAAATTATTCTCTCCTTTCTGAATTGTGAGTTATGTAGCATTTCTAACTACTTAAATAAACTGTATGTGTAAAGGCAAAATGAATGCTTATAATCCTTGAAAATACCAGATATTCGTTATTGCCTTATTTCAAGGATGCAGAATTCCTTGTAGCTCCTGTGAACTGCCATTGTAATGTTGATGTTTGGACCTGACTTTCAGTGACACACACCTCATTTAGAAAAGTGTGATACAAGTGATTGGAATTTCATTCTGATTTCCTACGCATGCAGGCCAGTTTCTTGTTTCCTTCCCTGTTCTAAAGTTACTCTTTTTTTCATACATTTCAGTCAATTCTTTTCAGAGAAACAGGGCAAGTAGTTTGCTTCTGGAATCCAAATCAATTTGATATAAAAAGCCTCATTTCCATTTGAAAAACTTTAAGGCAGCTATAAGATTTTGATTTACATTAGTTCACTGAATCATTCATTCCTCCTCGCTCTTCATCAGTGCTGAGATGGTTTCTTCTTTGATTAACTTCAGATAGATGTTAGAACTGTTCCTTCACAGAGAACTTTCAGATACTTTTTTAGACTTCGATCTTAATTACTTTCCTTTGCGAGACTGAACTAACTACCAGTGTGTTTAAATGCAGTAAATGCATGCCAGTGGGATTTTATAAATAATAATGCTGTCTTTAAGGCTCTACGCTCTTGTCTCTGTATATGTGGTTCTGGTTCAACATTTTTCTAGTCATGTTTTGCTAAAGTCTGATCTTATCTTTATTTTCAGTATAGATTTTATATATTACATCTGTGAAAAAAAAATTGCTACACGGCCTTTACCAAAAGAAGCCTAACAGTCTGAAAATAATTACTTTTAAAAGTTTAGGAAAAGTTGCAAATACAGCTTAGTACATGCGTGGTATTGAGCTGCTCAGTTTGGTGTTTTTTTGTCATTTTGTGTTGTTTTTCTGTTAGGAACATAGGTTCTGCTCTGTTAAATCGAAATTGTAGTCTAGCTAATGGTTTATTCTTGGTCTGATGACAGCTAATGATGAGATTCTTCAAAGGAATGTGCCAGCATTGTTGTAACAAGCAGTACTCGGACAAATTCTCCTAGAAGTTTTGTTTCTAGGCTTGGACTAAAGTTTTGGTATCCTTAGTCCTAGGATATTACATTTTCTGGAGTGATTTCCATTTTTTTAATCTTTATGATCTGAACAAAATCAGAATAGAAGCAAACACTGAAATCTCATTAATCACAAAGCAGAATTTTTCTTGGTATTGACATAGAAACCCTGATGCAAGGGTAGAAGACGCATCCATGAATCTTATCCTGCGGTTTTACACCATCAAACCTCTTCTCCTTGTCAAGGGGATTTAATGAAATTTCTTATATGTAAGAAGATCTAAGATGCTGCAAACAGGAAAAATGAACTGATAGGAACCTCGTGAAGTTCAACAAGGACAGATGCAAAGTCTTGCATCTGGAATAGAGTAATCCTATGCAACAGAACAGGCTGGTGCTAAATTGGCTAAAAAGCACCTTTGCAGAAAAGTACCTGGGAGTCCTGGTGCTGAGTACGAATCAGTAGTGTTCTCTTGCAGTAGAGAAGGTCAACTTCATCCTAATCCAGATTAGCAAGTGTTTACCTAGTACATAGAAGAGATGATGCCAGGCTCTTCTCAGAGATGTGCAGTGAAAGGCTGAGAGGCGAAGGACAAATGTAGGAACACAGGCAACTTTTTGGCTCAACTCATGCTGCCAGAGAGGCTGTGGAGTCTCTATACTTGGAGATACTCAGAACGTCAGTGGACAGAGTAATGTGCTGCTGCTGGACCTACTTTGAGTAGGGGTTTGGACTAGATGATTTCTGGAAGTCCAACCTACACGATTTGATGCTATGATGAAGAACAGGGAAATAGAAGAATTAAAATAATTGAGGTACAAGGAGTTCCTGGTTTGGTGAAAATAGATGCTGTTTTACAAGTCCTCTTTTTCTATGTTAATTTTTTATAGATCATTTTTTATTTTCTTAAATGATCATCCATTGTCCTAACAGCAGGATGTCAAACTAAGACTCTCCAGAAATATGGTTTTCTTGAAAACTGTTGTACCTGTTCTGAAGAGTATGGATCTGACTGAAAATATGCATAAAATGTTTAAGGGACTGAAAGTTATTCATGCGTCATTCATGTGAGTTGTTCTGTGGCTACGATTTTTACAAGGCAAGTTCAGTACTGTAATATGAGTTTCATAAATATTAGTAGATCCAAAACCTGCAGCTGAGCTATCTGTAAAGATTACTAGTTAATATTTTATATATTGTCATATTTTATATACGTTATTTCTTTATAAAAATAAAGCTTTTTGAAAAGTTTCACAAATGTGATAATAATGCAGCGGTCTGATCCAGTGAGACTCCCTGATAACACCACACTCGCAGTCATTTTCTACTAGTGATAGTTCAGATACTTTGTTATTTAGAGTAGTAAGTAGTGGTATATTCAGAAATCACTGGGAAAAAAATGCTTTTAGAACAATTCTAGGTCAAGTACATTTGACATTTAACTTCTACTGTGTCCAGATGTAACAGACATGCTGTGACAACTTCGAAGGTTTACTGTATTTTTAAAATTTATTTATAAAAAATTTATTTTTGGAATGTAAGTTTTATTCATCAGTGGTTTTTTCATTAGTCACAAATGAATTGGTGCAATAGCATAGGCAGAACATTGGCTGAGTTGATACTATTTGCGTATTGTAGATACTTTTCATTTCTTTAATATTATAACAGAGGGAATGTTCCAAGAAATTCTGGCACATTTCCTACGCTGCCAAATGCTGCAGTTGTATTTTAGTTCATGGACTGAGTTTGATTTTGAATATAGCGTCCTCAGAGTTATAATGGGGAATTGAAATTCCCCATTATTTTGAAAGTTTTCACATTACCGTGGCGAAGATACTGAAATTAAACTGTTGGTTTTGAAGGAAAGTTCAGATGATATGTAATGTGGTCACTTAAATCTGGTTTGTTGTTTTTTTTTTTAATATGTTTTATTTTGCATTATTTTGAGTTTCTTAATGGAACATTTTGTACTTTCAGGATGATGGTCTAAATTTGCTTTTCTATATTTTCTTTTATATTCTAAATTGATAGTCCTTTCGATATAACATTATTATTGTTATTGTAATTGTATTTGTTCACATAGGAGTATTAGTGCTTATACATAAACATCGCCTCAGGAAAGCTGTGACTTTCTTCTCCTGTTCATCCCCTCCTCTCCCAGTCCTATGTAGACACTATGTTGTTTTAATCATAGAATCATAGAATGGTTTGGGTTGGAAAGGACCTCAAAGATCATCTAGTTCCACC